ATGTAACACAACCCAACCCAAATTCCAGCAGGAAGTTTTGTAGATAGCGACAAGCGAATTCTAAAATATATTCGGGAAGACAGAGAACCTAGAATAGCCAAAACAATTTTGAAAAGGAACAAAGATTGGAAGAGTCATACTCTCCGATTTCAAGACTTGTTGTAAAGCTGCAGACACTGAAACCGGCTGGTGCTTGTTCTCAATGGCAGAACACAGTCCAGAAACAGACTCACAAACATAGGGCCACAAGCTTTTTTTTAAAAGGTGTAAAGGCAATTCAGTGGAGAAGGGGCACATAATCCTGAGACACCAGGATCTTAACGTGCAGAACGAGGCTATCTCGGCCCATACCCTCGCCTGTAGCAAAGTCAACTAAAAATGAACCATAAACCTGAATGTAAAACACAAAACGATAAAACTTTGGAGCAAGCATAAAATAAAAATCTTTGCAACCCAGGTGAGGTAAAGAGTTCTCAAATGTGACACGAATCATGACCTATTTAAAAACTGATAAACTGGGCTTTGTCCAAATTAAGTACTTTCATTCTCTGCAAGACTCTGAAGAGAATGGAGAGAAGCCAGACTAGAGGCAGATGCTTACAAACCACACACAGAACAAAGATCATGTGTCCAGAACACATAAAGAGCTCCAAAGTCAAAAGCGAGGTAGGAAACAACCTGTTTTCATGGGCAAACGTTTGAGCAGGCTGCTCGCAAGGGGCTCCTTCGATGAACAACCGCGACCTGACGAGAGGCTCTGTGTCATTGGTCATGAAGGAAGCGCAATCCGAAACCGTGATGAGATTCTCTTAAAACAGCTTTGAGGAGGGGGAACACAGGACAACAGCAAGCGCACGGACATGGGCACCCCTGTTCTCCGCCACTGGGGACACCGCACAGCCACCTGGAGAAACAGCACGCCGGGTCCCCACGACACCAAAAACACTCTTGTCGCACAACCCAGCAACCACACACGTGGGTATCACCCAAAGAGAACCAGAGCCAATGCTCCCAGAAAACCTGCACGTGGCTGCTTGTAGCTTTATCCACATACACAAACCCTGGAAACTCAAACGTCCTTTAGTGGTCGGGGGGACAAGCACACCGAGATGCCCTCGCACCACAGAAGGACAAAACCAACTGTGCTCCAGACAGCCGCGTGTCTGGGTCTGGTGTGTGTTGCTGGCACCCAAGCTCCCCGCTGTAGGAGCCCACCTATAGGCACCCTGAGAACAGCGGTCGGAGAAGGCCGCAGGGGCGGGAGAACGTGGCTCTGGTGGCCGGGCCCCACACACGGGCAGCACCAGGGGAATTCGGGCACGATGGTATTGCTGTCTTCTTCACAATGGTGGCCACACCACACTGCCAATAAGAACACGTTTTAGCATGCGTGAACTTAAAAATAAGTGTGAGAAAATGTACCCACGGCACGCCAGAACTCTAGTCAGGGTCAGGTGGCCCGTAGCCCGGCCCCTCCCAGGCCCGAGTCCACAGTTCCTGCTAGCCAGCTGCCCTGTCCACACCAAACACTACAGACCGCCTTAAAAGTGGGAACAGAAGCCCAGGACGCTGCTAACTGCGATCTAATGTGTGTGTTTCCAGAACCTACCTGTCCCATGCCTAGCGCCTGTGCCAAGGTGCTCACCTGGCGGCCCCTCTGGCCACCCACCCTGGCTTCTTGAGGCAGGCAGGGGCCCAAGAGCACTAACCACGGATAAAGAAACGCCAGGCCCAGCCCCAACACCAACAGGGATCCCGGACCCCCAACCGCTCCAAATCTTGGTTTCTTCATCTTAAAATAGTGGACGTTAGACCACAGGCCCTTTAAAGTCTGTGCCAGCACTACATTTTTATGAATTTAGGATGCCTGTCATAAACCTCTCATTTTTTCCAGTTTCTCTTTAACAGACTGAAGATTAGAAATAAAAGTTGGATTTTCTTGTTATTGCTGCTTGATTTGTTTATTTTGCTGTTAGGGAATATTTTTAAACTTCAAAAAGAGTCTCTAATCACAAAGTTTGAGAACTGCCACACTAGAAATGTGGTGAGGAGAACCCTCACCATACAATCTAGACTGCTTCCAATCTAAGGAAACTTCCAGAAACTTCTGTGGTCACAGAGAACGTGTTACAAGGGGTGGCAGAAGGAAGCTTCAGGAGCTGTTGGCCCTGTCTTCAAGATGGAGTGGGGCAAGGGGACGGCCGTACAGCCCCCTGTGCCGTGGCAAACTGAACAGTAGCCTCGAGTCCCACCCCAGAGGGTAGTTCTCTGAACGCACACACTGGGCCGACAGGAGGTATGGGGCTGGGTGCCGCCCTCCGGCCCCCAGGGAGCTGGTCAGCTCTTGAAGGTCAGGCTGGGCCACTTCCTAGTCTCTAGCTGTGCTGGGACTACCGTGCTGCGTCCATGTCCTGAGGTCCCCAGGTCCTCGGGGGAAACCTGGTCCTGCTCGGAGAGCAGAGAGCAGGACAGCCGCCGAGGGCCAGCAGAGGGGCTGGAGGGCAGTGGTGTGGACATGTGTGGAACAGGCCCCCGGGCTCCCACAGGAGATAGGGGTGTGCACATGCTTCTGTATTTATAGTCGGAACACAGTTTAACAAAGATTTCATGTTTAAGATTTTATTATCTTAATTTTTAACATGAATTATAAAAAGAGTCATGCCAGTTATATTTTGCCAAGAATAAAACTCAAGCTGGCACAATGTTTTCCAGCCCCAAGCTCACCAGCTTGGAAAAATCCAACTTTAAAGGAAAAATTAATATTTAAGAATTCACTTCCGAAAAACATGGTAAATAGTGAGGTATGGAAATATTTCCTCTCCTGAAACCACGGTATTTCTAAAAGCTACTCTGCTGTTAGGACCCCTGCTCTGCTCCAGACAGGACGGAAAGATACAGGGGCTCTAAGAACAGGGTCCCCAGGTGCCCGCCATACAGAATTTTCATGGAAATCCAACAGTAACCCAGCAAACTGCAAGTATATGGTTGCTTGTATTTTTGTTTTTTAAAAAGGAAGTGATTTATAAATTCTGTGATCTTCATGAGAACCATCGCCTCAGCAGGCGTGAAGGCCTTGGAGGGCAGTGGAAGGTATATGGGACTGTAGGTGTCCCTGTGAGGATCATGGGTGCATAGAGGGGTCGTGGGGTCTGTGGGGAATCAGGGGGCCTACGGGGTCATGGGGCTCCTATGGGGATTGTAGAAGTCCTGGAGGATCATGGGGGACTGCAGGGAGTCATGAGGCCACGGGGTCATGGGGGGTTCCCTTGGGGACCACTGGGGGTCATGGGGATCATGGGGGACCATGGCGAGTTGTGGAAAGTCATGGGTTTGTGAGGGTCCCTGGGGGGCCATGGGAGGTCATGGGAGGCCACTGGAGGTCAGGGGGTCATGGGGATCCCTGTGGGGACCATGGGAGGCCATGGAGTCACGGGGGACTGTAGGAAGTCATGGGGGATCATGGGGTCATGGGGGTCCCTGTGGGGACCGTAGGGGGCATGGGGGTCATGTGGGGGCCATGGGGGGTCAGGGGTCATGGTGGCAGATAGGAACCCCCAGATCCGAGGCAGGAGCATCTCTGGCTCCCCTCCAACCAGCCCAGATGCTTTCCATCTGCCCACCTGTCAGTCAGCAGATGGTAGAACCCCACCCTCCACCTACCCTTTAGGTGAGGCACTGTGGGGACATCTTGGCTGAGGTGCCCTAGGGGCACATCCCCACCACCAAAGCCCACATGCCAAACAGCTGAGCACCCAGGAATTCACACGCAGACAGCTGGAAGCCACCCAGAGGGCCAGGGAAAGCGCCTGGGGGGGAAGCAGACTGAAGGGTGGGAAGCGAGACTCAGGCGGGGGTGAACCAGGCAGAAGATCCCTGTCCCCTGTCCTCCATGAGGGGCGCCGGCTCGCAAACAAACCTCTGAGCTCATTCCTGCGGTGAAGGCACCAGGGCAGCAGCTGGGCCATCAGGCAGCGCACGGGCCGGCCAGTGGGCGAGGACCCGGGGCTGCCCTTCAGGACCCGCCTGGGACAGGCCGCTCTGGCTGCCACAGGGCAGCTGGGGTGCAAACAGAACACTGAGCGAGACTGCTGGGGGCCCCCGAGAAGGGGCCGATGGGCTCCAAGCAGACTCAATTTCATCAGCATAAAAGGAGCCAACGCGCCACCATTTCTGCCTTTAGCGCGTCAGCCCAACAGACGGGCGAGTGTGTGCAGCTGAGGACACTTCACTTTGAGGGGACGGGACTGCCACCAAGCAGGGCTGAGCGCTGGGAACCCAGTGTTGGGGTCCCAAAGGGGACACGCAGGGGGACACATGGGGCCCGGCCCCTCTGGGATTGCCAGGGGAAGCACGGCCTCGGGGGCACCTCAGCGGCTGGTTACAGGCCCCTCCTGAGGTGGGGAAAACCAGGGTCTCTCAGCCACCGGTGGAGGCAGCGACCCCCTTGCTCTGTACACAGGGACTCAACCCAGCCCGGAAAGCTCCACCTCGCTGTCCTATCTTGCTTGAGGAACTGAGCCACGCATGCCCCTGCCCCTCGAGAAGCGGGCCACGGGAGAGGGTCAGGAAGGGCATGGCGCCTCAGAGTCACCAGGGGTGAGAGGCCCCGGCTCGGGGAAAAGGCTGACCCAGGCCCCAGATGCCGTGCGTGTAATATGGACAGCTGGGCCAGCCTGCACCTGCCACACCCTGCAAAACTCGTGCGATTCTCTGTCATTAATAATAACAATAATTCTGAAAAACCCTGCCGAATTGACTGACAAGTAAAACCAGAGAATGCAGAATGAGAAATGGTTTTTACACTTGAGGTGTATGGGCCAAGGCCACCTCTGGTTCCCTGTCCCAACCTGCTGGGCCTCACCTGGGCATCTGTGTCTGACCCCCTGCTGCTCCCAGGGCCACATTTCCAGTAAATTGTTAGCGGTCCAACCTGACGACCAGCGGGCAGACAGACCCCGCGCAGCGTGACAGGCATGTGATGGGAGGACGAGGGGACTCACCTCCAGCAGCAGCCTTCCCTCCAGCACGGTGGACCCTCCGTTCAGACCACTGTCTTCTGGTGAGGGGGTACCAGCCGCCGGCTGCCGTGGGCACTTCTGCACGGCTGTCAGAGAAGAACGAAGCAAGTCTGTCAGCACCCTTCCTGGGCCCCAGACCTGCTTACCTTCTTCTGTTTCCCAAGTTCTTGGCCGCCACCCTCCCAAGCCGCATTCCCAAGCTGACCTGGGGTCTCCTCCGTGGGACGCATGGGGGCCGCACAGCTGGAACTGGACCCGGGCCGACCAGGGCAGCCAGGTGGGAGCACCAAGTGTGATATTCAGGAGATCAGGCCATCGGGGCTGGGCCTCACCTCGAGGACCCCACCCCTACTCTGCTCTGCAGAAACTGCTCTCTGCCCCCTCCTATAAACCCCTCAGAATCCCGCCCAGCCTCAGGGACACCGCCCAGGGGTCCCCAAGGTCCTCTCTGGAGACCCAAGCTCCAGTAGGTGCCCTAACTCGGCACTGCTGGTCTCCATAACTCAGACCACCCTGGAAGTGCCCACGCGACCTCATCATGCCCTCAGCTCCCCCAACCGCTCCCCAACCCCCAACCTGGTGTGGAGCGGCCCACACTGCACGGAAGGCCCCCCTGGCATGACTCAGGTGCCCCCCAAGGGTGGCAGCTTCCTGGCCCTCCCCCAGCCCCAACCCCAGTGTGGCCCCATCTCCGTTTTGGGGTGAAAGCTCAGACATACAGACATGCCGTCCACATCCCCGTTTACTGGCACCTGTTGTGGACCCCCAGTTGCAGGCCCAGAGTCCCCATCCACATGGAGAATTATGGGAGGACCCCTGGGGTGCGGAAAGGGGGCCACCCGGAGCCTCCTTGGAGGGCTGGGCAGACCAGGAAGGGCCTCCCAGTTGCCCCTCAGGTCGGTTTCCAAACTGAAGCTGCAGGTGATGTCAGTGCAACTGGGGGTCAAAGGGCCCTGCCTGGGGCAGGCAGAACCCTTGCATTTGTCCAGGTCTTGGGAGAAAATACAAACATGGGCACTTAAATCTCCCGCATTTTCTCTTCCAAAACCACCAAGCTGTGCTGAACTCCTCCAGGGCACTTGGGTCGTAGTGATTGTGCTGGCCAGGTAGTTTTTACTTCATCAGCACCTTCACACCCCCCTGAGCCGCACTCAGAGCCAGGGTCTGCCCCACATCCACTGTACCTTCCCCCCCATATCAGCGAGCTATGGGCAGCAGCTGCTCCGCCACGGAGTTTGATAGAAATTCAGGCCCCCAGGTCCCCAGAGCCCAGGGACTGCAGGGCCCCAATGTTTGCACTCCAGGCGAGACGCTCTGTCCACACCTCTTGTCAGGCACGGACTGCCCTCCCTGGTGGGACCCTCACCCCACACCAGCTGCACTGCCGGACTGGCAGCTTCCTGCCTCCCACCAGAGTCCACGCTGGGCCCCTTCACTCAAGCCCTCTGGTGCCAGGTGCAGGGAAACTGTTGAGCCGAGTGTCCACAGAGGCAAAGGGTTGGATGCAGGGAGGTGGCCCTCAGGAGAGCCCCACAGACGGTGGTCACGTTGGGGCCTTTGGTCTCTGTCTGCCCCCCCCCCCCCCCGTCCTTCCCTCTCCCAGAGGGCTTTGCTCTATCAACCTCTCTCCCACAGCTAAGAAGCACTGGAACTCTGTTCTCTGCTCTAAATACTCCCAGAAATGAACGCATTTCCTTGGCCAGAACGCAGGAAACAAGAACAGTCACACCTGGGGGTTGCCGGGCAAAGGTACAGGGGCGGTCGGTGCTGCAGACTGCCCAGGCCCCTCTCCCAACCGAAAACCTCACCAGCAATCAAGGCTCCACCGCTCACTAAGCTTGGAGATGTGTCGAAAGCCAGGGACATTTAGAGGTGCCTATTTTTACTCCCTTTGGGAACACAACCCTGTCGTTCAGAAAGCTGAAAGGTCTGAATTCACTAAACTCACACAGCTCCCCACCCCCAGCACACAGAAGCAGAAAACAGACCCTGGTGAAGTGAATGCCATGTCCCCTGAGGGAACCTTCTGGTCTCAGAACACCCCGAAGGCTGAGGTGGGCCTCTGCCAGGGGTCACACAGGACCCCATGCTCTCAGAGGCCCAGAAAGATAAAGGAGGAAAAACACTGGCATGTGAGTCCCTGTCCCACCCCTCCCCTCCCCCACCAGAGGGTCTTATCCTGCTGCCACAGCAGGGAGGCCACAGCTCTCCATCAGGGTATGGGCAGGGCCTGTGCAGCACCTATGGTGAATTTGGGGCTCAATGAAGGCCAGGAGTGCCGTTGGCTGGGCAGAGACAGGACCCCCCACCACCTCAGTGCATCCTGGGCCGCCTGCCCATACACCCAGGCCACCAAGGCCCTCCACAAAGCAAACTCCATTGTGGAGGGGTCATTCCCACCCCCACCCCAGCTCAAGCCAGCTCCCTGCCCCCAGCCTTCTCCAACACACCCCTCAAACTGAGGGCAGGGGAAGGCAGGGATTGGACTGCCCCTGCCTGCCTGTTCTCTTGCCCCTGCAGACCCTGTTGGGGGCAATGACTTCCACAGCTGTGAAGCTGGGGTGGGGGAAAATCCCAGCATGGTGACATCACTGCCCTGTGGGGTGTTCACTGCCCCCCAACTTGATGGGCTACATCCCGTCCTGTACCCTCTAGAGGCAGAAGTGGGGGATACCCTCTCTAAGTCCTCTCCCCACCCACGGGGACACCGTGGGACACCGGCCCCCGAGCATCGCGTGTCCCCCCCCCCCCCCCCCCAGCTGGGCACCCCCACTTCCCCTCCTCTGCAGCCACATCCCGGCGGGGCACGCCCAGCGGGGCCTCCTCTGGGCTCCTGTCACGCGATGGGGCCATCAGCGCTGCAGTGACAGCCACCTGGACCCAAGCCAGGGCCTCGCGTGCGAGCACAGCCGCAGACGCGCCCCACCCCCAGGCCTGTGGCAAGACAGAAAGAAACCGAATGCAGGAGCCGGGGGTGGTGGCCAGCTTTCCCGGAAATCCATGCGAGCTGACAGTGCCTGCCGCTCACTTCCCAGGTCCCCCACTTCAGGGGCCCTCAGGGAGTCGAAACAGAGCAGCAGACTCGGGTGGGGTGTGTGGTCGCAGCCAGGGTCCCACCGTGCCTCCCACGGGCAGGTGGCCAGGCAGGGCAGAGCAGCAGGGTCCCGGGGAGGGGGGCAACCGGTAAGGAGGGCAGGAGGCAGCCGGTAAGTTGCGCCCCCTCCTCAGCCCTCCTGGCTCAGCTCTGCCCTGGATCCGCTCCCCCACCTCAGGGTTTCTCTCCTGTCCTGCGTTCTCTGTCCCCCCTGAATGCAGGTCTCACCTGAGGGCCTGAGCTGGGAGTGCAACAGGGACTGGGGCTGTGGGCAAGGCCACCAGGGCCCTGGAAACCTCTGCAGACAGACCTCAGCCCCACTGCTGGGTCTGCCCTGGGGGGTCCCCCCTCTCCTCTTCCACGACAAGGGACGAGCCCACCACCTGGCCCCTGTCACCGCCCCCTCTGCACCTGACTGCCCATGGTAACAGGTCAGGGAGAAAGGCTCTTGGGGAACAGGTGGGGGTGCAGGGTGTCCTTCTGGGGAGCTGGTGAGAGTGTGGGGAGAGTCTGCCGGGGGCCCTCCGAAGGCCCGGCTTGTCAAGAAGGCCACGAAGAGGAAGTTCCAGGCATGAGAGCCCCCACAGACCAGCAGGGGCTCAAGAGGCCCATCCACGCACAAGTGGTCCAGACCCCTCGTGAGCCGCTGGCACTGCCCTGCCCACAGAAAGGAGGCCGGGCTGAGTGCGCTGGCTCCCACCAGGACCACGTCCCATAGGCCCCGCCCTGTGGGCAGCTAGTCCTCCTGCCCTGCCTGGACTCTGAGGGGCAACTGGGGGCCTCTGAGAGCCCTGGGGACTGGCCTGAAGCCAGCTTTCCGCACCCGGTCTGTCACACAGAGCTCGGGGCCATGTGGCAGACAGAGGAGGCATGAGCGAGGCTGCCCACTCCCAGAAACAAACGGACTCCCTTGGGCTCACGGCTCAGCCTGAACCCTGAAGAAGCCAGCTCCTCCCCGACTCTGAGTCACCCAACGACCCCAGGGCACCAGCCACAATGAGACTCTCCAACAACTGGTGCTTCTCACTTCATTGGCTTCTTACACCCTCGAGAAGGTTCATTTGGGACACAGAGAATCCGAGAAACCATGGAGACAGTGGCCATCCCTGTCTCCACGCAAGCCGGGGCGGGGGGACGCTTCAGAAGGGAGGGGACACTTCCCCACTTCCCCACTTCCCTTGAGGCTGACTGGGACTGCCTGCACCCTGCCAGCTCCTACCCTGCACCCCAACCTCTCCACTATGAGACCTCTATTTCCCTCACACAGGGGAGACTCAGCAAGGTGCCACCCTGGGCCAAACCACATGCCACTGGGGCCTGTTGTCCCACCACAGTAGCTGCTTAGAGTTCGTGTGGCTGGGTCTGGCCAATGACAGGTGCCAAGTGTTTTTGGCAGAGGAGAAGCTAGAAGACTCCCCTATCTCTGCCTCTGGATGGTGCTGTGATGCTCAGAAAGTGGCAGCCACTTTGTTCCCTGCTCAGGTGAAGCCAACTCCTTTCAGTGCAGACAGGACAGGTAAGCAGGACAGCTGGGTCCAGGTGCAGGGTGCACTGAATGTGAGAGCCGTCTAGAGGTTGGGTAGGACTCCTGCCACCCAGAGCATTAAAAGCCAGGGGCCCCACTGGAGGCTGGACTGAAACCCCGATTCTGGCCATTTGCAGGTCCTGGAGTGGACGGGCCTATGTCCATTGGCCGGCTGAATCAAACACCTGCCTGGTAAAACGTGGCTTCATTTCGGAGTTGAGCCCTGGGGCCCTGCACAGTGTGTCCCAACTTTCACGCTCTGGGTAGCACCCATGGCACGTCTCCTCCTCCTCTTCCTCCTCCTCCTCCTCCAGCCCCAGTCTAGCAGGCCTTCCCGCTAGAGGCCTGCCCCACGCCTTCACAGGTCAGAGCTGATCTCCACACTTCCCTACATGTCCCTGTGGAGGCAGATGACGTGACCACGGCTCTGCTCTGCTCTTCCTCGTGCTACACCCAGAGGTCAGGGG